TGAAATGATTCACACATGACATTGCCCATTTGTGTAGTGACAAAATGGAATTAAACCCCAAAGTGTTGAGGATCACCCAACTAAGCCCATACATGAACTATTCCTGCTGATAATTTCCTCTTGAAGCTTCTGAGCAGATGCCTGGAAGAAGCATTAGGCATGGTTGGACATGGATGTTTTCCATCCTAGAGCTGAAATCTTCACCATTCCCTTCTGTCAGAAGGAAGTAGATTGTCTTTGCTGCGTTGTTTTTTTGTTTTTGTTTTTGTTTTTTTTGTTTGTTTGTTTTAATCTCCAAGGGTTTTCAGTACAACCTGATTGTCTTAGTTAGGCTTTCTGTTGTTGTGGTAAAATATCATTCCCAAAATCAACATGGAGAGGGAAAGGACTTATAAGTCTGTCACTTAGGGAAGCCAGGGCAGTTACCTGGAGGCAGGGGCAGACAGGAACACTACTTACTGACTGGCCTGCTCCTAATGGCTTGCTCAACCTGTTTTCCTTTAGCACCCAGGACCACAAACCCAAGAGTGGGATGGACCCTCCTATACCAGTCATCAATAGCAGGCTCTCCCACAGGCCTGCTGGTGGATCTCAGTACAGCAGGCTCTCCCACAGGCCTGCTGGTGGATCTCAGTACAGCAGGCTCTCCCACAGGCCTGCTGGTGGATCTCAGTACAGCAGGCTCTCCCACAGGCCTGCTGGTGGATCTCAGTACAGCAGGCTCTCCCACAGGCCTGCTGGTGGATCTCAGTACAGCAGGCTCTCCCACAGGCCTGCTGGTGGATCTCAGTACAGCAGGCTCTCCCACAGGCCTGCTGGTGGATCTCAGTACAGCAGGCTCTCCCACAGGCCTGCTGGTGGATCTCAGTACAGCAGGCTCTCCCACAGGCCTGCTGGTGGATCTCAGTACAGCAGGCTCTCCCACAGGCCTGCTGGTGGATCTCAGTACAGCAGGCTCTCCCACAGGCCTGCTGGTGGATCTCAGTACAGCAGGCTCTCCCACAGGCCTGCTGGTGGATCTCAGTACAGCAGGCTCTCCCACAGGCCTGCTGGTGGATCTCAGTACAGCAGGCTCTCCCACAGGCCAGTCTGGTGGATCTCAGTACAGCAGGCGCTCCCACAGGCCTGCTGATGGATCTCAGTACAGCAGGCTCTCCCACAGGCCAGTCTGGTGGGAGCACTTTCTCAGCTGAGGTCCCTCTTTCCAGATGGCTGTAACCTGTGCCACATTGATAGAGAACAACCAGCTCACTGATGGTTTGAAATGGTCTGTGTCTATTTGTACTGATAATTTTTTTTTATAAAAATAAAACACTATGATGCCTTAAATTTTATTAAATAATGGGAATTAATTCCACATGAAATCTACCCACTTTGGCTAAAGCTATAATTTATATATAAATAAAAATTAAAAACAGAGATTATTTGAAAATGGAAGTCCATGTCTTAGGAAGGTGAAGGTCTGCTGTTTGTTTTGATAACAGCTGAGTATGCCTCTAAAAGACACCAGGCAAGCATGGTAGACGGGCGTCAAGGGCACCCTACTATGTGGTTAGTGTTCACCACCAAGAATAGACAGTTTCGGTCTGCTCTTAGCTCTGTCTTCCACAATGCTGGCTGAGTCTTAGGTGCAGGGCCTGTGTTGTAGGTATGCCAGTTTTGGCTGGGGATCCCATGGTAGTTATTATCTGCATTTTGATTAGTTGTGGCTTTCTGTGATGATCTCTTGCTGCGGCAAAAAAGGAAGCTTCCTTGTCTGGGTGTGTGCCATATGTGGAGGCTGTGGGGTCCCTGGTAGAAGGCAGGACTGGAGTTGGTGGCCAGACTGAAAGGGAGTTAGGCTGACCAGAAACCCTTCATGTTGTCATATTTTCCACAAACCCCACATTGAGTTATGCTACTCCATCTGGGGTCAGGACCTAGAGTTTATAAAGAGCTGGGACATAAATGACACTCTGATCTCCTGCTTTCTAAGTGTGACTGAAAACCGTTAACTTAGAAAGGGAGAAGAGCCATGGGCATAGATCAGTGGTCACATTGCAAGCAATTATATGTTGGCATGGTTTGAATGAGCACCCTTTTCAAGGCCGTGAGTTAAAGTCTTGGGCCTCAGGGTGACGAAGTTGGGAGGTGGTGAGACCTTTAGAGGTGGGGCCCCGAGGTCCTCAGGCCATCAGGGATGTTCCTCCACAAAGGACTTTGAGACTAGAATGGACCTCAATCTTCTTTTGTACCTGGTTTGTGGGGTAGTCATTTTTGTCCCAGTGCGGTCTCTCTGCTTGTTGCTGTTTGGTCCAGTAGACTCATTTAGCCTTGGCCTGCTTTCCACACTGAGCCAGAGCAAATCTTTTCTTATGTTGCTGTCCTCAGTTATTTTGTTGTAGGGACAGGAAACACACACACACACACAAAAGCATCCATCCCTTTGCTCGCCCATTCACCTGTCTCTGGACATGGAAGCTTGCTTGCTCCTCCTGTGTTGTGCATACAGGTGCAGACTCCTCTTGGAGATTTTGTTTTCAGTTCTTTTTATATTTTCTGAGAAGTGGATTGAATCCCTAGATTAAAAAAGGTAACTGTTTAACTTTTAAGGAATTGCCATGTGGTTTTCCAAAGTAACGATAATACTCTACATCCCTCTAATAGTTCAGAGGTTTAAATTTCTTCAGATTTTTAACACTTTTTATTTTGCTTGGATAATAACACTAACCCTAAAAGATGATTTGGCATCCCATTGTGTTTTTCAGTTATTATTTTAATTTCCATAATTAACGTATTGAAGATCTTTCCTTGCGATTATTAGCCATTTGTATATCCTTTAAAATATTTATTTTATGTGCATGTCATGCACCCTCATGGGATTCTACCTGCTTTGGTGCCTGGAGTTGAGAGGGTTTTGCATAAGTCGGTTCAGTCTTGCTACCTGCTGAGCTTGTTTCTCTTGTTTTGGCTGCATCGTGCACTCCAGGCAGCTCATCTGAAAACTAAGATGAAAAATGGATGCAGCTGCTTCTAGCTTTTTATGTGAGTTCTGGGGTCAGACCTGGGAGGTGAGGCTTGTGGGAGTCTTCACCTGACAGCCACCTTGATCCACTTCAGTTTGTCTCTGAGGAAGTTTCTACTCTGGTCCTTTTGTCTGTTTTAGAATGTTGTTTTGGCCGGTCGTTGGTGGCGCACGCCTTTAATCCCAGCACTTGGGAGGCAGAGGCAGGCGGATCTCTGTGAGTTCGAGGCCAGCCTGGTCTCCAGAGCGAATGCCAGGACAGGCTCCAAAAATACACAAGGAAACCCTGTCTTGAAAAACCAAAATGTTTTTTTGTTGACTTCTAAGAGTTTTCTGTATATTTTGGAAATCATTGTTTGATTACAAAATAACTTGCATTTTTGCTATTTTAGGGGTTGGGTTAACTGTTATTACACAAATTTTAAAAAGAATTCATGACCCCCTCCCCCATTTGTGTTTCCTTTGTGCTTGTAACCCCTGTGCTATCCCATGTTGTGGGGGGGCATCCCATGCTTCTGCTGTCTTTCTTTTCTAAGTGGTTTGGATGTAGTCTTACATTTCAACCCTTGAGCCATTTTGAGTAGATATTTGGCTATGGTGCTGTGTATTGAGAGGGTTCTTCTTTCTCTATTAAATGGTTTTGATACACTTGTTGAAAATCATGTGACTAGAGAAACATAGGCTAGTTCTGGGATCACTATTCTGTGTCATTCATCTGTTTGTCTTTCCTTACGCTAGTGAATAGTAAGATTTCAAATTAGGATGCAACTCAACCACCCTCTTTCAGATAGCCCTGGATATCCAAAAATTTGACTCAACCCTCCTCTGGTTCTCTGCTGTATTTTCTTCATCCAGCTGCCACTGACCTTTTTTCTTATGTCTCCCTCTATACTTGGAACACAAGCTCAATCCTTTATGCCTGACTTGATTATGTAGGCATAAGTGAGTCATTGGACATTGGTGATTAAGTCACCTGTCATGAGTTGCCTGAGAATGTAAGCCTCTGATGAGCATGTCTGTTTCCTATTGTTAATTATTCAGGGTCCCACCAATTGTCACTTCGTTAGTACAAAAGAGTTTATAATGAATTGAAAAAAGGAGCCAGAGATACAGTTCAGCTGGTAGAGTGCTTGCCCTTGTGTGTGAAGCCCTGGGTTTGGTTTCCAGCACCACACAAACTGGGTGCCAGCTGAATTCCTGAAAGCCCAATCCTGGGGAGGGAGGTATGGGCAGGAGACCAGAAGTTCAGTGTCATCTGCAGCCCAAAAGAAAGTTTGAAGCTATCTGTGCTACTTGAGACTGTCCGTGTGTGTGTGTGTGTGTGTGTGTGTGTGTGTGTGTGTGTGTGCGTGCTCGCGTGTGTGTGTGTCCCCTTCATATCTTTTGTTCAGCAAATTACAAGGGATTTAGAAATTATTTTTTAATAATAGAAACCTAGAAAGAAGACCAAATATTTACTTATTGTTAATTCAGAATATCATGCTACACTATAGGAATTTTTTAAAAAGGTAAATGAAATACTCATTAAAAACAGATGATAGTACCTCAGAGGGAAATGTTGACTTCTAATCAAGGTGATTCTTGGGGTATGCATTTTCACTTTAGGAACATCATAGATAATTTAAGAGAAATTTAATCTTCCATTCTTCAGGAAAGTATGTAATAATAGGATGACAGTATTATGTGGAGGACGGGAATTCTGTGATTTGTTAGTCTTGACCTTTTTTGTAGATGTTTAATGGCTGTTAGAAAGAAGCACTTGCGCTGGCATGCCTTTAATCCCAGCACTCAGAAGGCAGAGGCAGGCGGATCTCTGAGTTGAGGTCAGCCTGGTCTACAGAGTTAGATATAGGACAACCAGGACCACACAGAGAAACCTTGAAAAACAACGACAACAAAACAAACAAACAAAAAGAATGAACTTGTTACTGATGTTGTCTTCTGTGACTTTACCTGTTATGGTATTTCAATAATTTTAAAAATAATTCCTTCCCAGTTAACAGAAGATGAAATTGCAACCATCCTAAAATCCACATTGAAAGGATTAGAATATTTGCATTTTATGAGGAAAATACACAGAGATATAAAAGCTGGGAATATTCTCCTCAACACTGAAGGACATGCAAAGCTTGCAGATTTTGGAGTGGCTGGCCAGTTAACAATATGTTGTCTTTAATAATTTGGATAAATTTTTGACTGTTTTTCAGGCTTGATTTTGACTAAACTGATAATTTAGGGAAGCATGGAAGGATAGCTTGTTATTCTTAAGGAGGGGAAGCCATGTTTGAGTCTATTTACGATGTTAGGGTCAGTAGATAATAGAAGACAGTTATTAGCAAAATGCTCAAATTTATGAAAGGGAAACAACATTGATTTCATTGCTTTTATTCCTAAAATATGTCATGCTGTGACTAATTTGAAGCATTAGGGAAGTAGTTAGTTTTTTAATCTGTGTTAATAGTTGGTCACATGTTTTAATGAATATGTTGCTATACCTGTTTGCTTTGTGTTTTTGTCTAGTACTTACGCTTATGCAATATCGTTGCAGGATACAATGGCAAAACGCAATACTGTAATAGGAACCCCATTCTGGATGGCTCCTGAGGTAATTCAAGAAATCGGTTACAACTGTGTGGCTGACATCTGGTCCCTGGGCATCACTGCCATAGAGATGGCAGAAGGGAAACCCCCTTATGCTGACATCCATCCAATGCGGGTAAGGAAGTCATAGCTTGGTAAAAGCCTTGGTTTTGAGTCTCGAAGTTTTGTAATGGTAGCAAAAACAAACACAAAGCAAATGCATCCTTGTGAGGGTAGAGTCTGTGCAGAGGGAATAGATTGTCTTAGAATGAGTAGCTGTTATTTCTTTCCTTCATTTCACTGAGTGATTAGTTTCGAGAAAAGAACTTGAGGGCCATTTGTCTCCAGCAAGCACTTTCTCCACCCCAGATGCTACCCACAAGGTCCCTGCTTTTCAGTAGAAGAAATTTACTGTTTGTTTGTAGCTCATTGCTTTCCAAAGGCCACCAGAAACAGGTTAAGAACTCTGTCTCCACTTTCCTACACAGTCCTTAGCTCCTACCTTTCTGTACCTTTTCTTGCTTCTATATTCTTTAAGCTGATGTTACAAAGCCCCAGTGGGGCTGGAGAGACGGCTCTGCAGGTAAGAGCACCGCTGCTCTTCCAGAGGACCCGGGTTCAATTCTCAGCACCCACATGGAGGATCACAGCTGTCTGTAACTCCAGTTTCATAGGTTCCTGTACATCTGCTGACCTCTGTGTCTGCCAGGCATACATGTGATTACATAGGCAGACATGCAGACAAAATGCCCACACATGTAAAATAAAAAAAAATTTAAAGCCCTCATGTTCAATTTTGCTATCTTTCTATAAGGGAACTAAGTATATATATATTTCTTTAACTGATTATTTATTTAAAAAATACACCCTTCTTCTTTTGCTCACTGTCTCCATGAATTCATTCCATGGTAATCTTTGCGTTTGCAGTGTATTCCTTACATATTCAAGTCTAGCTTGTCATGCTTTAGGATTTATAATGATACTGTTTTTAGATTATAGTAATATGTGACTCTCTGGCATAGATGTGTACATTTATCTTTGTATATACTTATTGCCATCTAGTGGCTGTAGCTACCTTAGGAAGGCTATAGGAGTGAAGGGGGAAGAGTGTGTATGTGTCTGTCTGTGTGTGTATGTATGTATGTATGTATGTATGTATGTATGTATGTATGTATAGAAAAGACGGGTGACTTGGAGAGGTAAGTGAAGTAAATAGATGGAGGAAGAAAGAAGGGAATACTTTTGAATATCTAATGAGGAATAAATTGGAATTTTGTTTAATATTACAGTGCTACAGATAACTACAGTGTTGAAAATACTTAAAAATCTACATGCCATATTGAAGCATATTACCAGAGAGTTATTTTAGTGGTACAGTTGTATTCCATTTATATTTTCTTTGTATGTGTAAACTCCTCTGGCAATATTAAAAAGGAAAAATGGCATAAATTATGCATTTGAAAACAATAAGAAAAATAGCAAAGTCAGCACAGAACACAGCCTCTTGTTGTTCTGTGAGTATCAGCCGCCTCTTTTGTCAAGGTGTTCGTGGGGTGATTCTCTAGTGGGATCTAATTGAGTCAAGAAAAGGTTGCAGTCCATCACAGCACATCCCGCTGAGTTCTAGAGGTCGGTCTACATCAGAGTTAATCCTGTTTCTACCCTTTGTAAATCTTTTCCAAACGAATGGTTCAGCACATTAAGCCTTTCTGCCAGGTTGAAAGGGTTGTAGTATGTGACTCCTGCTTAAACCTCACTTGAGTTGGAATACATGCTTACAAAAGAATAAAAACATATTGGAATGCAGTATTTCTCTTAAAAATATCTAGATACACTGTGTATATTGCAAACATCTTCTTAGGATGCCTTGGTCTTTTTTTTCTCTCATTTCTCTCACTGCAAACACAAAGATTTTGAAGTTCCAATTCAGGTTTCATTTCTTGTTTGCTTAACATGTATTGCATTTTGCCTGTGTGTGTATGTCTGGTGTGTGTGTGTGTGTGTGTGTGTGTGTGTGTGTGTGTGTGTGTGTTTGTGTGTGTGTTT